GGATTCCTCAAAAGGAACAAACCAGTCTTGCACTGGGCATCAGACTATAGTTCTTGGCTACAGTCCTTACGTGGAGCAGCTTGAGTAAATTCATGAAGATGTTGGCAAGTACCAGTGCATTTTCCACATTGTTCAAGGAGCCTTTTGGTGATTATGGAGCCCATGGTCGGATGAAGTTTCTTCCCAGCTTTAGCTAGCACACATTTCTGACAATTTTCCTCAATGTCTTTTTATCATCCTAGGACAACATCTACTGCAGGTCAGACCAGGGGCCCTTCATACTCCTTGGTGTCCTACCTAGTCTTGTACAGTTTTGCTCTCTCAAGACGAGGGAAAGGAAAAGCTTTGTGATCTCGCTGCCTGCATCCGCACTCTTCTTATATAGAACATTGTCCCTGGCATCCAGTTTATTCCAGAACTTTGGCAGCTTCTGTGTTGGCTTGTCCTCCTTCATGAGTTTGCAGAGGTTAGGTAGCTGTCTGCTTTCTAAGTAGAACCATAGTCGGCCAAGGTGTTTGTCGTTAAGCTGGAGCATAGCCATATCTTCAGAAGAGATGGAAGGAAGGGTGGACTTCACAGAGGAAACCTTGACATCCAGTCTATTCAGTCCAGCTTCAGCTGAGATTCTCCTTATCTGGAACAGGACCACAGCTGGGCTTTGGGCGGATGCATTTGATGAAGTCAGAGCCTCTTCTGACGACATCTTGTAACAGCAGGCAGTTTGCAGCAGTGTTTTAGTACTCATACTCAAGTACTGCTCAAGAACCATTTTCAGAGTACTTGTACCATACTTGTTCTCAAATTTCCAAGTAGTTGTACTCAAAAAAAGAGTTCTTGTACTCAGGCTGCAAAATAGTTGGAACCAAATGCACCCGAGCATCAAGGTACTCGTACTCGATCAACAGTAGTCGATAAAAAAATTGACCATCAAAATACAGTGATATAAGAAGATCTACCCTCACAGACCAATGTTCGGTAGGGTCTGACAAACAGAAGGCCTAATGCCAGTATGTGGGACCTTTTACTTATAATGACATATTCACCATTTGTGAGCTTACTAAGCCAATCACGTATGCAAAATGCTGGGTATTCATAGTCTTGATTCCAAGAACATCCTGTCTATTCCCTGACACGAACCATCACCAGACATATCGCCATCACAGGAAGCAGCTTGTACATGACCTAAAAAAACGGCTAAACATAACCGTTTCTGCCCTCACAGGTACCCATTTAGTCTTGGGTGGAGAGAGGCAGATAGAAGTAAAGTGCCTTGCCCAGGATCACAACATGCTGCCACCAGCTGGATTCTGTCAATATCAACAGTTCCATTGACAATCCTGAGTAGAGATCCTGGTGTGATAATCGCCCCAGGGGATTAACTCCACTGGAATGGTTAACCGCAAGACTTGGGAATTTGGTGAATACAACCAGAGCAGCTTGTGAATTTGGTAAATACCAACCCGAGTAGCCTTATTGTTCATTCGGCCAGGTCACAGAGCCTGGAAATAGTCTTCCTGCTTGGCCTCTCCATTGCAATTACTCCTCCACTTTACTTATAGTGAAGTGAAACTGTTCTAGTTCTCCAGCCCATCTGGTCTCTGTTGCTCCCAACTGTGTCCCTGAACTTCTTGGTGATGACCCAGCAGGGTGAAATTGTGGTAGTCCAGGAGAGGAGTAGTTTCCAGAACTTGTTTCAAGTCATTGAATGACTTGTCACAAGACTCATCCTATGCATCTGATTTTGGTTTGGTGGGACTGGCCCCCCTATGCTTCTTCTTCCCTTTTCCCCCGTTCAAAGAGTGCATAGAGTGGTGCAGTGACTTCGGCAAATCCTGGCAGATCGATACAGCAGTGTTAGCCGGTGAGTCTAATAAACCCACAGAGTTCACGTTAAGTGGTTGGTTTCCTCCAATCTCTCACACTGCTGATCTTTCAGGATCTGGTAATATTCCTTCCTGAGATATAGAATGGCCCAAATACCTCGGTTAACAGGTTACACTTCTCTGGTTTCACCTTCAAGCCAAATGCAGGGCATCTTTTGTTTATTTTTCTTTCTTTTTGTCTCTTAATTCTGTTGCAATGGTTTGTGTTAAGAGAGTTCCAGACTGTCATCTTTTTGATTATAGTTCTCTGTCTTTTGTATTGTCCTAGACAGCCCCTGTTCAACTGATTGTATTGTCTGAATTTTGACAGTAAAGGTCAGTTCTGTTAGGGTAGGTGTTGCCAAAGTGTATGGGTTCCAGAATAATGCCTGTCTTTGAAAATCTACTTGGCTATAAAGTGATCCAAGATGTAGGCAAACACATTGCTGATCTTTTTGTATGTGTTATTGTATATCATATGCAACTATCATAACGTACATACATATGTAGTATTGTACGTATCCTAATGACCATTTCTGATGATTGATTGAGGAAGAATTTGAATTATGATTTAATAGTGATTTCTGTTCGCAAATGTCAAACTGTCAAGATATACAGTTGTGCTCAAAAGTATTCATACTCTTGGGAAAATAACTAACTTTTCTAAATTCCTCATTTGTAAAAGCTATTATGTTGGTACTTCCGCTTTATCTTTTGTCAAATTGTTGCAATACACAAACCCACATGTGCATTGGCTAAACTTCATTTGGATAATAATAGATACGGCCCGGGCTTCCTTTTTGCTCCTGTTCAAAAGTATTCATACCCCAGGTTTACATAGCCCATTGTCTTTTCTTAATAGTCAATGGCGTAGCCATTGTTCTTGATGACTACCTCAAGACATTTCCTATAAGTGTCCACAAGCTTTCTGCATGTCTCCTGTGGGATGTTGGTCCACTCTTCCTTGAGGAAAGCCTACAGCTGGGTCAGGTTGGATGGTCTTCTGGCCATCACTCCAGTTTTTTGCTCCCTCAACAGATTCTCTATAGGATTTATGTCAGGACTTTGACTTGGCCATTTCATTACATGGATACCACTGTATTTGAATCACTGCTGTACTACCCTGGTGATGTGCTTGGGGTCATTGTTCAGCTGGTACGTCCAATCCAGTCCAAGCTGGAATTTCTCAGCAGACACTTTAACTTTGTCATCCAGGATCCCGATATTATCCTCTTTTTTCATGATGCCCTGTATCTTAATGAGGTTCCCGGTGCCACAAGCAGAGAAGCAACCCCATAGCATTATGTTGCCACCACCATGCAAGATGGTGGGGACTGTGTTCTTCGGCTTGTATGCTTCTACTTGCTTCCTCCACTGAGACGCAGCCAGTGTATCGTGAATGCCCATAAAGAAGGGAAAAGGCTAACAGGCAATTTCCAAGCAATACAAGGTCCCTGTTGCAACAGATCAGAGTATCATCAGGAAGCATACGAGGTTCAGTACAGTAAACAAAAAATTGCAATGGGCATGGCAGGAAGTGCCAAGTATCCCCTAGACTCACCAGAAAAATTTGCTGGGAGGCCAACAACAACCCACGGATCACAACCAAGGGCCTGAAAAGATGGAGTTGTTTGGCCACATTGATATTGCCTACGTCTGAAGGAAGCTAGAAGCATACAAGTCGAAGAACACGTTCCAAACCATTAAGCATAGTGGTGGCAACGTAATGCTATAGGGTTACTTCTCTGCTAGTGGCATTGGGAACCGCATTATGATATAGGGCATCATGAAAAAGGAGGATTATATCAAGATCCTAGATGACAAAGTGAATGCCTCTGCTGAGAAATTCCAGCTTAGACCTGACTGGACGTACCAGCAACACAATGACCCCAAGCACACAACCAATGTAGTAAAGCAGTGGTTCAAGGACAGTGATATCCATGTACTGGGATAGCCAAGTCAAAGTCCTGACCAAAATCCAACAGAGAATCAGTAGAGGGTGCCAAAGACTTGAGTGATGGCCAGGAGACCATCCAATCTGACCCAGCTGGAGACTTTTGCCAAGGAAAAGTGGACCAACATCCCACAGGAGACATGCAGAAAGCTTGTAGACACTTATAGGAATCGTCTGGAGGTAGTCATCAAGAACAAATGCTACGCTATTGACTATTAAGAAAAGACAATGGACTTTGTAAATCTGGGGGATGAGAACTTTTGAACAGGAACAAAAAAGAAACCTGGGCCGTATCTTTTATTATGCAAATGAAGTTTAGCCAATACACATGTGGGTTTGTGTATTGTGACAAATAGACAAAAGATATAGTGGAAGTACCAACACAGTAGCTTTTACAAATGAAGAATTTAGAAAATTGTGTTATTTTCCAAAGGTTATGAATACTTTTGTGCTCAACTGTACATTGGATATCACTTATGACAGAATTCATGTTTTTTAACCACTTCCTGCCGGGGACTCCGGAATCGGAGACGTATGGTTTATATGCGTGGCTGGGGTCTCCGAACTCAAACAAAGGAAACAGGGCCCTGTAACAAATGACCGTACTCCAAACAAAAGACCAGGCTGCTGGGCATTACCGATATTTTTCACTCCGATAATCCAGCCTTGTTTTGAAACTGTATACCAGGGTTTGGGGCATTAAGAGCGAGCGGATTACCACCGGGGACAAAAGCGCTCCACCGCTGCAGCGATGAGCCACACAGCACCTCTGCACGCTAATCTGGCCCCTATTGAAAAGAGGTCAGCAGTGTACTGAGCCAGGTTCGTGAACAAAAGACAGTTATACAACACCGCACAATCTGGGCTCTTTTTACAAGGCTGCAGGCCGTGCTGAAATACTCGGGTGTCAATGAAGGTCACCTGTCAACTTAGAGTAGTGCCTAAAGATACTTCGTGCGGCTATAAATGACCGTTAAATGAAATGATGAATTTTTGAAGGATTTTGAAAACAGAAAAAATGATAGTCATGCCGGTCCAGTATCATCAACGTTGAAAACTGCCCCGGCATGAAGTGGTTAAGCTTGTTACTATTCAATCAGTCCCTGTAATCTGGAATGTTATTTAGTCTCAGGTACATGCCCTTGCCACTTATGAGTATTTGTTCTGTTTGTTTATCTTTCAAGAACACAGAAATGTCAACCCTTAAACTACTGTTTGATGTATTCCTATCCATCTCTGACTTTGTTGAGGCTGAGAAGCTTACGTTGATGTTGTCTGCACTGTCATCAAGATTGAAAGGAGTAAGTATAGACCTACATTTATCATACCAGCCATTCTTTGTTAATGCTCAATTTCAAGACCCGGCCAATTCCGACTAATGCATACATATATATGTATCAAAAACAGTGTCACAAATGCCTGATAAGGAGTGTCATTAAAAAAATGGAGGTTGTCTGTCTTTTTTATCAACATAACAGATGGCTTTGTGCATTTTCTTTTTAAATTTGAACACCTAAGCTTCTGCCCAAACCTTGATGGCACAATCATTTAATCCAGTAAATTTGGGTCTAAGGTTTCAACCCAACCAGACATGCAGTTCAGTACACCTTTCATTTCAAGTGACATGTCATCTGATGACGTCATCATCACACGAGGTCAATTTTTCATCAACAACACTTCTCTATCTTGTTATATGCAAAATTTTGACCTGATGGGACATGTACTTCAGGATATAGGCTTTACAGAGTGCACCTTTAATGTCAGGTGACTTGTCATCTAATGACGATGTCATCACATGAGGTCAATATTTGTCTATCATACTTACCTCTCAAGATACCTGCAAAGTCTCATGTTCGCAACCCATTGGGACACCTACTTCGGGAGATGGGCTTTAAAGAGTGCACCTTTAATGTCACGTGACTTGTCACTTGATGGCCTCATCACATGTGGTCAATTTTCATGTAAAACACATCCCTTTCAAGATATCTGCAAAGTTTCAACCTGACGGGACATAAACCTCTGGAGATTTAAGGCTTAGAAGTTTGCCCTTTTAATGCCATGTCACTTGACACCTGACAACATTATTACGACAACTTGGACCCTCTCCAACGGGTGAACCAAATGTGCACACCTATTTATATTGTCATTTAGATCGATTGAAGTGCCAAATCGGGCTGGTTAAAAACGGTTTACAAAACCCATGGAGAAAAAATTTATAAATATATAAAAACAAGATGACAGCATCACGACGTGTTAAAATTGGCAGAATTTTTTATCAGGGTCTTTCTTGGCAGTGACTTTGACAACAACGGAATATCGCTAAATTACCCAAATGGTGCCTTGAAAACATCCACTAAGTTAATGGGCTAAAAATGACTATGCAGAAAACTGCTCCATTAAATTCATGTCACGTGATTTGCGTTTACACTGATATTGATATTTGACTCCTGGGCATATTTGTAATCGAGCAAAACAGAAAATTTAGTCTGATTTCTCTTTGTTCTCATAGTAATTCTTTTGTCCGAAAGTAAGGACTACTCTTTCAGAAAGAGTAGTCCTTACTCTTTCTGAAATCTAATCTTTCTGAAATTTCTAATCTTATGTCATGTAACCCTGATGATGTCATTAGGACGATTTTGATCTGGGACCCTCTATACGTGCTGGACTACGAATATGTACAAATATAAAATCAGTCAGATTGACCAGAGTCCCAACGTCAGGCTGTTGAAAAAGGTGTACAAAGCCTATGGGGAAAAATGAAATATTCAAAAATAAATAAAAAATGAGGTGATGATATCATCATGATATTATAATCTTGCCCTCATTTTTGTATAAGGGTCTTTTTTGGCTGTAACTTTAATGACGAGCAAACCTGGCAAATTACTAAAATGGTGCCTGAAAAACGTGGACGTTAATGGGCTAAAAGAAATTTTGGAAAACCAATAATAAATCAGTTGATGACATCATCCTGACGTCATTCTTCAAGACACATCAATGTACCAGGGTCCTTCATACAAGTAGGTAAAAGTGTGATGAAGATTGAATGGGCTTGAGAAAAAGAGAAAGAAAAAAATCTGGACCGAAAAAAATGCTTTTTGCAAAATTGAAAAAGCCAATAAGTCACTCTAAATGACAGAAAAAAATAGACCTGTAACAAACCAACATCACAGTTTGTTTTCATGTGCCCTCACCCATGGCATTGAGTTAGAGGACATGATCCACACGATTTCCCATGGGAAACCGCATATGTATAAACAAAGCATTTGGTCATTATGTTGTAGTTCTATTCAAGAGAGGAAGGCTGGAAAGAAGCTAAACTCTTGCTGTAGCTTCTACATCTTACAAAATATTTTTAACGAGTGCATATACCAGTAAGTAAATGCAGAACTGCAAACTTGATTTTGAACGGAAATTAATGAAAAATACAAAAATATAATTTCCGTGGATAAAACCATGTTAATACAGATTTGGTAAATTTCCACTGTAATACTAATATGTCATATCGTTTATGCCATTCTTTTCATTTGGAGCCATCCACACAGTACATACGCACAAAAATGCTGACTTTTCAGACCCTTCTCCCCATATGCATATGTATCTCACATATCTTTTGACTTGTCAAGGTACCTTGCTTTAGCATCATTAAATGTCACAGTACATTGTACATCTACTGTAGTACTTTTATTTACGTTGCTTCCAAATTCTTAAATGACCAAAGTAACAACAGGTTTTTATGTCGGTAATTCTTTATTAACAGCCCTTGATAGTGCTTACGTAGTAGCTTAAAAACATTTTGTTGAATAAAAACAAAAAATAATCCTGGTGCCTTTTTATTCTCTTATGCACGTAGAGGCACCTGTACATTTCCAGAAGACACTGCTGGTCTTTGTGTCATGAGTACTATTTTATGAAATATCTTTTGAGACATACAAAATGTTTAAAAACAAATAGTTACTTTTTAATATTGCCTATTTTGGACCTCTTCCAATAGTGTAGAGTATGGTATCAGTCAATTCTTGGATGATACAGTAACTTTTTAAAAAGTCAACTAAAATAGTACAAAATATATTTGTATCCAAATATTTAAGGTCACACATTTTGAAGAGTACCTTCTAATACCCACAGCAAAATGCCATAAATTTGTAACATTGAAAGAGTTAGATGTCCATTGTCAAGGTAAAATCATGGTAAACATGCGGAAATTCTCCTTACATCCATAAAGACAAAATTGTCATCAATGTTTTCAACAGAAACATTGCTGATTGTGTGTGAAACAGCGCCCTTGTGCCCCCTACTGACATAAATAGTCTGCATTATTATGCATATGCACGTAGGCCTACATGTATCTGGCACAATTTTACAACGTCATCACATTTTAGAATCGAAAAAAGGGGCCAAAACCAGATACGTAATTTCAACAAAGAGAAGTCTTGAGTGAGCTGTATGCCTTATTCGTTCATTTGCAATAAAGTAAGCAGAGCTTACCATTATTCCATGGAATGTTGGGTGCTTGTCAAAAACTATTGCAAAAATCATTATAAACGAACAAGGTTTTCATTTTTTTGTAAACCTGGTATGGGGTGTAGTTGTTCTCAGGCAGAGAGAAGAAAAAAAGTAAAAACCAGTTTATCCAACCAGATGTGTTTCCACAAGGCAAGATACCCTTAACCACTTCATGCCAGAGCATTTTTCAATGTTGATGATGCTGGGCCGACACGACTATAATTTTTCCGTTTTCAAAATCCTTTAAAAATTCATCATTTCATTTAACGGTCGTTTATTGCCCCACAAAGTAATCTTTAGGCACTACTCTAAGTTGACAGGTAACCTTCATTGACGCTCGAGTATTTCAGCTAGGCCTGCAGCCTTGTAAACAGAGACCAGATTGTGCGGTGTTATATAACTTTCTTTTGTTCACAAACCTGGCTCAGTGCACTGCTGACCTCTTTTCAATAGGGGCAAGATTAGCGTGCAGCGGTGCTGTGTGGCTCATCACTGCAGTGGTGGAGCGCTTTTGTCCCCGGTGGTAATCCACTTGCTCTCAATGCCCCAAAGCCTGGTATATGGTTTCAAAACAACGCTAGATTATCACCATTTTTGAGAGTGAAAAATGTCGGTAATGCCCAGCAGCCTGGTCTTTTGTTACATGGCCCTGTTTCCTTTGTCCGAGTTCGGAGACCCTGGCCACGCATATAAACCATATGTCTCCGATTCCGGAGTCCCTGGCAGGAAGTGGTTAACGTGGACTGATTTGTTGATATAGATCCATTAAAAAAAAAGGCCTGTAGCTGTTACTGTGATGTAGAGCAGATATCTTAATATCTATCGTGTAAATGGAGACCGTTATTTCCTGAAATTTTTCCTGCAAGATAGCCATCTGACACCTTGTAAGAAATCCTCAATTTGCAACGCTACATATTTTGTATTTTTCTGTCTTCAGTGGTCAGAAAGATGGAGTCTTCTAATGAGAAGATCTGGAATTAATACTTAAAGAGAAGACAGATCAAGTGCAACAAGAGGCTCGACTGTACAGGGTGTCCCAGAAAAAAACAAACCCCGAGGAAAGGGGTTAATATGCCCAAACAAAAAAGGATCTCTGAAAATTAAAAGCAGTATTCTTTCTAATGATACCTTGATGGTATCCTTCCTGTCATGCATGACTGAACACCATTGTCTTGAAAATGGGGCATCCAAACTCAGTTGTAACACTTTGGATAAACCAGTGAATGAGGTTGTCCTCTGTCATGCTTGTCCTTGATAAGATATCAGGGGCACACCGATTATATACACATTACGTAATTCACAGTTAATTATGCACCGACACCTGCCGCGTGTCCGCCTTCCCTTTCAATGCAGAGTTTACAACGGCTGCGCATGTCAGCCACAGCTCATCTCACCAATGCAGGGTCATGTCATAAGATGTCAACCTCCTGTTGAATGCGACCTTGTAAGTCTTGGATGTTACATGGTGGACTGATGAAATCTTTGTCCTTCAGATACCCCCATGAAAAATAATCACACGGGGTGAGATCCGGAGAACGGGGCGGCCATTCAATTGGATGGTTAAGAGCAATTACTCGATCTTGGAACAGTTCTCGCAGGAGATTCCTCACAACAATGAGCCTGTGTGCAGGTGCCCCATCTTGGTCCAAGCAAAGATGTCAGAAAAAAACATTTTCTTGCCATTGAAAATGCATCTGAAGTTGGGGTACCACTTCTTCGTTGATCATGTGCAAGTACAGTTGACCATTCATATTCCGTTTGAAAAAGAATGGTCCGATAATGACATCATTCCCACACA